CATCTACAATTCCCATATGCTGCATCTCAAATACAGCGTTCCAATGTACATGTTGCTGGCCTTGATCACAATGAAGCATCATTTCATTTACTTGATTCAGCGAACAATCCTACCACAAGTGAAATACGAGTAATTTTAGTTGCTTTCATCTAAATAAAATATTAGCAAATGACTTTTAAGAAGTATATACAAACGATATCAATTAATATCAATTTTTTGAAAATCTAACTAACATCATGGGCCCTATCATGTAGGAAGATGATGATAGTTGCTGGTTATTGCATTGACTAGCGGTTATGTCAGAACATATAGAAATGATACCTCCTACAAACAAGACTTGCCAAGGTAATAGACAATTTTCTAGATGGCTTAGACAACATCCCTCTGTGCATATTTCTTAACACTCTTCAACTTTGGCAAAATAAGCAAACATTTCTTTGATAATTTGGAAAATGAGCAATCGATTTTTTGCTAGCAAATGAGCAAATAGTTAGTTGCGAATTTAACAAATGAGCAAAAACTTAGTTGCTCATTTGTCAAATGAGCAAATGATTAGTTGCTCATTTTGTCAAATGAGAAAACATTTCTTAAATCATTCACTAAATCAACAAGCATTTCTTTGCTCATTTGTGAAATGAGCAACCATCACTACACGAAAAGAGCAAATTGGCAACGGTTCAAACCCCCCCCCCCAAAGGCAACGATTTTGAACCGTTGCGTATTTGAGGGTTGCCAAATCCCAAAATAATTGGCAACGGTTCAAAATCGTTGCCAACTACAATGGCGCCTTTCTTTTTTTTTTTTGAAAAAAAAAATTGGCAACGGTTAACCGTTGCCATTGACCTGTATTTTTTTTTTTTTTTTTGCTGCAATAATAATATATACATGTTAAATAATAATAATTATTATAATATTTAATATTAATAATAATAATTATTATTATAATAGTAACAATAATTAGTATTATTAATAACAAAACATAAATAATAATAACAATCGCAAGAGATGATATTAATTAGAAAAATGTGTCATGTTACCTACAAACAATTTTAATTAGTTATAATAATGTATAGTACATAATTAGTAAGCTAAGGCTAGGATTGATGAAGTAGCTAGCTAGTAAACGATATTTACAAATTAAATGTGACGTAGGTCGCCAACATCTCTCGAATTACATGGAGTTCCTCGCTCGTGTATGGCTGTCCCGTTTGCCCCTTGCAAAACTTAGAATACACAAAACGTGAGTTAGTAGAAGTGAATTAATAATAATTGGGGTTAGTTAGTAGGAATGACCCGAACAAAACTTGGAATAATACACAAAACGTAAGTGAACTCATACTTACTCATAATAATAACATGACATTATTACTTAGTTATATGTGACTAAGGAATGAAATTACAAGAAAATAGCAATATGAGTGTTTAGGTCGCATTTTCGATCAAAATAGCCCAAGTAAGGCCATTTTGGCTACTAGGATGCCTATTTTCTATAATTCTTGTATATTGAAATCATCACTAGTTAAAACATGTAATAATCACTTAGTTATAGGTGCCTAATGCTTGAGATTACAAGAAAAGAGCAAGTAAGTGGTTTTGGAACGCAATTTCAACCAAAACGGCTCAAGTAAGGCCATTTTGGCTACTAGGATGCCTATTTTCTTTATTTCTTGTCTATTGAAATCAGAACTAGTTAAAACATGTCATAATCACTTAGTTATAGGTGCCTAATGCTTGAGATTACAAGAAAAGAGCAAGTAAGTGGTTTTAGAACGCAATTTCAACCAAAACGGCTCAAGTAAGGCCATTTTGGCTACAAGGATGCCTATTTTCTTTATTTCTTGTCTATTGAAATCATAACTAGTTAAAACATTTCATAATCACTTAGTTATAGGTGCCTAATGCTTGAGATTACAAGAAAAGAGCAAGTAAGTGGTTTTGGAACGCAATTTCAACCAAAACGGCTCAAGTAAGGCCATTTTGGCTACTAGGATACCTATTTTCTATATTTCTTGTCTATTGAAATCAGAACTAGCTAAAACATGTCATTATCACTTAGTTATAGGTGCCTAATGCTTGAGATTACAAAAAAAGAGCAAGTAAGTGGTCTTGGAACGCAATTTCAACCAAAACGGCTCAAGTAAGGCTGTTTTGGCTACTATGATGCCTATTTTCTATAATTCTTGTATATTGAAATCATAACTAGTTAAAACATGTCATTATCAATTAGTTATAGGTGTCTAATGCTTGAGATTACAAGAAAAGAGCAAGTAAGTGGTTTTGGAACGCAATTTCAACCAAAATGGCTCAAGTAAGGCCATTTTGGCTACTAGGATGCCTATTTTCTATAATTCTTGTATATTGAAATCATAACTAGTTAAAACATGTAATAATCACTTAGTTATAGGTGCCTAATGCTTGAGATTACAAGAAAAGAGCAAGTAAGTGGTTTTGGAACGCAATTTCAACCAAAACGGCTCAAGTAAGGCCATTTTGGCTACTAGGATGCCTATTTTCTTTATTTCTTGTCTATTGAAATCAGAACTAGTTAAAACATGTCATAATCACTTAGTTATAGGTGCCTAATGCTTGAGATTACAAAAAAAGAGCAAGTAAGTGGTTTTAGAACGCAATTTCAACCAAAACGGCTCAAGTAAGGCCATTTTGGCTACTAGGATGCCTATTTTCTTTATTTCTTGTATATTGAAATCATAACTAGTTAAAACATTTTATAATCACTTAGTTATAGGTGCCTAATGCTTGAGATTACAAGAAAAGAGCAAGTAAGTGGTTTTGGAACGCAATTTCAACCAAAACGGCTCAAGTAAGGCCATTTTGGCTACTAGGATACCTATTTTCTATATTTCTTGTCTATTGAAATCAGAACTAGCTAAAACATGTCATTATCACTTAGTTATAGGTGCCTAATGCTTGAGATTACAAAAAAAGAGCAAGTAAGTGGTCTTGGAACGCAATTTCAACCAAAACGGCTCAAGTAAGGCTATTTTGGCTACTATGATGCCTATTTTCTATAATTCTTGTATATTGAAATCATAACTAGTTAAAACATGTCATTATCAATTAGTTATAGGTGTCTAATGCTTGAGATTACAAGAAAAGAGCAAGTAAGTGGTTTTGGAACGCAATTTCAACCAAAATGGCTCAAGTAAGGCCATTTTGGCTACTAGGATGCCTATTTTCTATAATTCTTGTATATTGAAATCATATCTAATTAAAACATGTCATAATCACTTAGTTATAGGTGCCTTATGCACCAGACACCGAAAACCTCCTAGACAACGCGGGATAATTCCCAACACGAACACTACTGTTTCCAGGATGATCAATAATTTTGAAGCAATGCCTTAAGGCGTAAAAGCAATCCTTTTTTGGCACTTCAATATGATTCAAGCATATGATCAGGAATAAACACGAATAACAATTGATTCACAATACAAGTATACAATATTCCCAGCATGAAATAGACTCAAGAATTACAGAAATTGCCCAAATTAAAACCAAAATTACAGAGACTCACCCATATCCAGGCAAATTACCCCTATTCATAATTGGTTGGACGGTTCATATTCAACTAAATCAAACACAAAGTTAACAAAACAAATGAAATCACAAGTATGAATCATATGCAAATAACCCCAACAGCGAATTACCCCTATTCATAATTGGTTGGACGGTTCATATTCAACTAAATCAAGCAATATTCAAATTTAGTATTACTCACTACTACAAAGCGCCAACCTCTCCAAATTCCGACATAGTCACATAGGGCTCAAGTCCATTATAGTTGTTTCAATTGACAAACCCTAGATTACAGGAACTTATAATTACTAAATTGTAAATCAAATCCACCAAAAAGTCGAACGAATTCATCAATGGAAGTATATAAGTAAAACCTAATTGCTACGTACCTTCGGTTGAAGATGTTTCAATGGAGGGAGTTATTGCCGGAGTACGACGCGAGTATTGTCTTCAACGGAGGTGAGAAAGCTCGCAGCACTTCAATGGAGGAACAAAGAGGGGAGTTGCTGAATGAAGAAGGGGGGAGGGAAAACGCGCGTCAATGTTTTTTAATGAATTGAAGAAGAACGAAGAACAGGAGGGAGTATACAGGAGGCTTGAGAAAGGAAAAACCGGGTTTTTTTTTTTCACAATTGGCAACGATTAACCGTTGCCAAATCTAACCCTTTTAATTTTTATTTTTTTTAAGAAAGTAAGTATTTGGCAACGGTTAACCGTTGCCAAAATTTAAGAGTTGGCAACGGTTAACCGTTGCCAACTCTAACCTATTTATTTATTTATTTTTTTTGAAAAAAAAGAAAGAGTTGGCAACGGTTAACCGTTGCCAACTCTGAAATTTTAATTGGCGCTCATTTTAGTTGGCAACGGTTTTCATGAACCGCTGCCATAGGGGGGTGCCTTTTTAGTTTTTTCTACTAGTGCATTAGTTTGCTCGTTTGTCAAATAAGCAAATAATTAGTTACTCATTTGTAAAATAAGCAAATATTTCTTTGATCATTTGGGAAATGAGCAATCAATTTTATAATCATTTGGGAAATGAGCAATCAATTTTTTACTCATTTAGCAAATGAGCAAATAGTTAGTTGCTCATTTGTCAAAGAGCAAATAATTAGGTGCTCATTTGTCAAATGAGCAAATACTTACTTGCTAATTTAACAAATGAGCAAAAACTTAGTTGCTCATTTGTCAAATGAGCAAATAGTTAGTTGCTCATTTGTCAAATGAACAAACATTTCTTTAATCATTCATTAAATCAACAAGTATTTATTTGTTCATTTGTGAAATAAGCAATCAATTATTTTCAAATCCCAGATCAATTATTTTCTTTACTCAAATTATAATTGCCAGAAAAATTGATAAACTATCTTGCAATCAAACAACCCAAATTTGTCATTCTGCAGCTGCATCGACGTAGAGAAGTTGTACATATGCATCTATACCCACCACTAAGATGATGCTATCAATTACGTTAATTGACTGCTTAGTATGCTAATATTACTGAAGAACATTAACACTACAAGAATGTCATGTATTGATACAGTATTTGCAGATAAATAGCTGATTACATGTGAGCTGTAAATTAATTGGAGGAGCCACAAGCTTGGCAGCAAAACAGCTATATTAGCCAACTTAACTGAGTAAGTTAAAACTGTACAAGGAAAAAAAAAAAAAAAAAAAAATAGATTTCTCCCAAATGAAACGTGACTCGTTGCTCTAGAAGAAAAAAATCACATATTTCAGCTTTCTGCGGCAATCTCTTTCTAGCCAAATTTGTGCTCTAAATCTTTACAATGATTTTACCTACTCTGCTTCAGCGGCGAGCAACAAACAATGAAGTGGACGATACCTGCTTTCCTTCAGCCTGCATCTTTCTGAGTTTAGCCTTGTCTATTCGTATTCTCCTTACAGCTTCTTGAATATGGTGATCATGATCTTTCAACATCTGATCCATGTTGCTTGAAGGGACTATTAGAGGTCCTGAGTAGTGAATTTTGCTGCCCTTTGACCCATAGCTAAGCTAAATAATAGTGTAACAATGCAAAAGTTTACGGGCACAAGAATGAAAAAGAAAAGAAGCTGATCCTAGTAATTGATTTAGCAACTACTAATTGAGAAACATAAACAAGGACAGGCACAAACAATTGATATAAATTGAGGATGCCTACTCAAGTTTAGTTAAACTAAGGGTAAATGGTTTTAGGTTGTTGCAAAACGCAATTGATCAAGCTGTCTAATACTTCCTCCATTCCATATTAGTCTACAGACAATATGACTTTACACTATTCACAAACTCTACCTTTAACTAGTTTTTGTAATTTATAGATAAGAAATTGCATAGTCATGTGGAAACTTTTTAGATTCCTCTCAATGTGTATATTCAAAACATAATTTTTACTTTGTAAAATTTTTACTTACTGATAATTAGAGATATTTATGATTGAATTTATGCATTGGCAAACGTGATAAAATAAATGAATCATTTAATTTGGAACGGATGATATATTAAGATTAGTACGGCTAAACGAACAGATGAAAGAAAGAACTTACAAGCACAGGATCATTATTGCCACTTCTTCCATCTATGTTTTGATGAGAACTTGCAAGACCCTGCCTTTGATCTGCTTGATCTCGCCTCTTCATAGACTCTGACGATTCTTTAAATGATCCGAGGAACCTCGCTACTAGTTTTGGAGCATTAGATTGCAGAGAACTAGACTTTTCTCTCTTGTCCTCGATTCTTTAAGAAGCTCCTCCTCGTTGTCATTCGACCAGACAATGTTGATGTATCAGCCCCATTAAACACTTTGGGAGCATCATCCAAGTTCTTCCCAGCCTTCACCCATGGTGCAGGGTTAACAAGTGGTTCTGAATGTGATGCTCTCTTATGATGGTGCCCATGCCTGCTTATACCAGAATCTTCTGTTGCTTGAGATACTCTAGGGGGTTTAATTGGAAAGCCAGAAGCAACCTTTTCCTGGTGAGGATTAAACTTTTTATCCGGAATTGGTCCTTGATCAAGAGTTTGTGCAAGCCAATGAGTCAAGTGGTCCAAACACACGTTCAAGGGTCCAAAAGAATCAAACTCCTATTGTCTATGGGCTGTTCATTCTTGGGTCCAAACTTGACCATGTTCCACGCATGGGTTTTGACATATCCTCGTCTTTGTACAAGTCATGCGTGACTTGGATGGATGAGTAAGCATGGAATTAATTTGCCTTGGATGCCTTAGATATTTTCATGAGCATTGGGGGAGGAATATTCCTTGTTCCTTTCTGATTTGAAGGCAGCCAAGACAAGGGAAATAAAGAGGGGGTTACACACGTTAAGTAAGCATTCAAGTGGGTTTTTATTCACTTGTTTGGGCGCCATTCATGGAGTATAACCTCCTTAGTTTAATTGCTTTTTATTACTACTTATTTTTATGTTTTATTTTTAGTTTATAGTAGTAATTAGCTTAGCTTAAGTGCTGTAATAAAAGTTGTAATTGTCAGCCGTTACAAGGAAGAAAGTTGTGCGCATCTACAGCGAGTTCCCCAAGGAACTGATTAAGGAACTCGTTAAGGAACAGCAGCAATTATTAGTCTTCAATGTATGACGGTTTGCATGGAACTATTACATTGAGGGACTGCTCATTGTGGCGACTGTTGAGTTCCCTTTTGTTGGCAACTTTTAAGTTCCTTTTCTTAAATTAGCTAAGTCAGTTAATTAATGTAACTACTTCCTTAGTCTATAAAAGGAAGTCTAGTCTAGCTTTTGTAATCAGACTATTATAAATGAAATATTTAACTTTGAAATATACCTTGTGTTATTTCTTATTTTAACTTGTGGATTCAAGTTACTTGAATTCGTGGACTCGAGTTTGTGAGCTTAACTCAAAGTGTTTGGGGTTAGCTTGTCTTATGGTTAGTAAAGTGAGTGTTCAACTCTAACCATACCTATCCTTGATTAGTATTGCGAGTGTTCCTTGCTAATCAAACCTTCAGTTCCTCACCCTAAGGAACTCGTTCCCGTTCCTTACCTTTTTCCACGTAAACACCTAGCCTAAACACTTAACCCATAACCCGAAACACCTAACCTTACCTTAGATTCCGCATCAACTTCTCACTTCGACTCTTCGAATTAGATTGAGCCTGCCTCTTCTGAAAACTGCATATACATGAGTACGGATACAAAGTCCAAGAAATGGAGGGTAGATAAAGTACAATAAATAGATAATAAAGTAAATGTTGATTTTAGAGTTTTTTTGGGACAAAACTCAATCAGCAAAGGAGGAACATGGTGAAGGGAACATAATACATTTAACAACTATCAGCAAAGGGACATGACACTTGGTATTCTAGTCTCAACAAAAGAATACAACTACTCTCAACAACCCCATATACACACTTCAGAAGTTCAGATCATCTACACAGCAAGCTTAAGCAACAAAATTATAGCCTTAATCAATTTCTTGCAATTATACTTAGATTTAGAGCTCTGAAATATTCACATTCAGATCCAACACCAGAAAACAAAAACACAAAATTTAAAACAAAAATGAAAGAAAAATGAAAAAAAATTCAGTGAGGCATTTCGTCGAATACCTTGTAAGCAGTCACAATTCTCAGGTTGTTTGCGTACAACATCAAGAACATAATCAATCAATCGCCACCGTAGGAGACCCACTCGAAATTTTGAAAAACTCCTCACCTCGTTCTTTCGACCAGTATCCACTGCCCACCACGGCACCACCCTCCTCCAAACCCACACATAATCCCACCTACAAAGACCCACGTCCTGCTAACCACAACTAGTTTCGGCTTCAGGTTCAGTAGATTTGGCTTTAGGGACTGAAATCTCCATTGGAGAGCTCATTTTTTTGAAATTGGGGTTTCTACAACGAGTTGATTTAAATTGATAAACACGAAAAAATCGAATTCTTCGTGATGATGCAGAGTATAGAAGAGAGATAAATGAGTAAAATCGCATGAAAAAGGATGAACATTTGATTGGAAATTGATGATTCCAGAACAATCTACTCCAACTCCCACTGTTGCCTCTGAATCAGATGCTTCTCTAGTTTTAATTGATATTTAATTGTGGCCGTTGCATGTAATTGATCCAACGGTTATAATGAGTCCTCACATATAATATGGTTCTCACATAAGGGATGTGGTCTCATATGATCCCATTTCAATATATATATATATATATATATATATATATATACATATATATATATATATATATATATATATATATATATATCCGTTAAGAACGGTACATAAGGTGAGAAGCATGACAAATCCAGACACATCAAGAATTTGTTATAAATACATTAAGTAAATATTAAGGATACATCAAGTATATATGGCAGATACATAAAAAAAATTAAGAGAAAAAAGTAAAATTAAAGGCATGATTTTCTTTATCTCAAGCTCAATTCACATCCCTTGGCACTCAAACAGCAGTTGACTGTTTAAAAAGAAAAGTAGTGTAGGCGTAACAAATTTCTTCTCTTATACTAGCATTATAGATACATTAACAGAATACTCTAGATACATTAGCAGAATACTACAGATACATTATTAATACACTATAAATGCATTAGTCGAATATTGTAGGTACATTTGTACTCCGTATTATAAGAGAAGTAAAAAAAAATCTATTCCCATTAATTTGTTTGACTCTTCAAAGTGAGTGGATGTTTTATAACGCAAACATTAGAGGATTTGCAGAACCCAAATTAAACTCCAAATTGATATGAAAATTCTTCATATTTCTCAATATTAAAATCAGACATCAAACAATCAGTATCCTAACCCCCTGTACCACCGTTAAAGGATTATGGAAGAGAGAGAAAATATTCTTATGAAAAACACAATCAATAAATTAATTGGACAAGATTAAAGGTATGTTAATGGAGGTTGGGAGTTGAGAGAAGAGGAGGGAGATGACATATCATTAGTTGTGCTTGGCCAGTACTTCGTTAAATTTATCATTGTGCGATTTTTTTCGTTTTAGTCAGAGAATTGAAGTAAGTGACTTGTAATTATCTTATAATCATGACCGCATATTTAAAAAATTGATGGCTGAGATTTCTTCTCACCATAAGACGTCTTCACATAATATATATATATATATTTAAAAAATGATGGCTGAGACAGTCTCTTAAAGCAAACTTTTAACTAAAGTAGGTGTGCAATGAATAATGTAAATTGAGTGTAAAGTTATCCTAAACACAAGCTTTGCAGATAGTTTAAGATCTAAAAGAGCCCTCGCAAAGGCCCTTTTCAAATACATCTATGTGTTACGGAGTAATATGCCACTGCTGAATATACAATTTGTACTACTTGAATGTACTATACCAACATAACACGTTAGGAAAAGGGAGAATTAATCTTTAAAGTGCAAGAGTTACTATTTTGATGTTAGTTACTATTTGTGTGCCTATAAGACAAGTTGAATTTAGGAAGAATCACATTTTGGCAATTGTATACAGGGGAATGAGGCAGATTAGGAGGTAAGACAATTGTTATGATGTTTTTAGGATTTGTATAGTACAGTATTAGTATTAGTTTTTATGATGTTCTTAATGGCACAAATGTGTTTGTGTTAATCTTGTTCATATAACTTTTGATACGTTAATGCAATGGTAAACATTTTCTAAAAGTTGATCTTTCTTCATTGATATTTATAAAAAAATTACAGATTATAGAATTACATAACAATTCTTTGCTCATTTATCAAATGAGCAAACTATATAATGCTCATTTGTCAAATGAGCAAATACTTATTGCTCATTTTGTCAAAAATTAATATTTGTCAAATGAGCAAATACGTTTTTTCCAAGATGAAATGAAAATGTACCAGTAAATTTTTTGCTTCATCATTTGGTGCCTGTTTTTTTCCTAATGTTTTGTTGAAAATTGATGACGATGCTTAGTTCAATTTCACACCCCTTCTATGAAACATTTGAAGAGCTATACTAGAGAACCTCAACTTATGTTAAAGTACAAGTAAATGAAATCTCGTGATGATATCTAATATGATTTGATTTATGCTATACCTGAGAACCTCATCATTTGATTTTTATTTTGTTGCGTTTTTACCTATCAATTTTGTAGTGATTTTTAATTGTGTTATTTTGCTTCTTTTTGTTTGTATTTGCTCATTTTAATTGTATTAATTTGTTAATTGCTAATTGATTTTTCATTTATGCATTTTTACTGTATGTGTTTTGCTCATTTTATATTAGTTTGCTCATTTTATTTCAGTTTGCTCATTTGAATTCAATTTGCTCATTTTAAATTATTTTGCTCATGTCTATGTGTGTATGGTGGTGGTGTGATGTAGGCGGTAAGTGAATGGACAGTAGGCAGTAGGCTGCTCATTTGTGTACATGTGTGTGATTTGGTGAAGTTATGCTTGTTAGTGTGTTTGAATGTTTTAAATACATTAGCCTACTAGCTCAACAGGTAGAGCATTGTGCAAATGCATAAAAGATGTGGGTTCGAATTCCACGTAGGTTCATTTAGAAGACACAAGTTTGTGTGAGAGTTTAGTTGTAACAAAGTTTATATGGTTATGAATCATTTCAAACCAATTTTTTGCTCGTATAATTTAGTGCAAATTTGATTTTTTTTTTATTAGTTTTTTATATAGGATAACCTATGTAGGAATTGAACTTACATCCTCTATGCATTTTCATAGTGCTCTACCAATTAAGCAATAGGTTTTATCATATGTTTTAAATTATTTTTCTATGTTATAAATTTTTAACCATACGTTTCTCTTTGATAAATGAACAAAGAAATGTTTGCTTATTTGACAAAATGAACAAAGGATTGTTGCTCATTTGATAAATGAGCAAAGAATTGTTTGCTCTTTTGATAAATGAGGAAAGAATTATTTGCTCTTTTGATAAATGAGCAAAGAATTGTTTGCTCATTTGATATATGACCAAGGAATTTTCGCTCATTTTTTTTATACAATAATGGTTGCCCATTTAGTCAAAGTAATCCCCCAATATATATAATATACATATATCAATTTACACTAATAAAGAAAACATAGCTTTTATTAATTATATCAAATTTACAACACAAAATCATTATGCTTATTTATGTTTTGCTCATATTAATTATATTTGCTCATTGTACATATCTTTGATTGAAATTATTTAATTTATAACATTAAGGTTGAATGATTTGACAACAAAATTACAAAAAAAGAAAATTCATTTTGCTCATTTTATTTTTGTTTGCTCATTTTATTTTTACTATATTACTTTTCATATTAGTTTTGCTCATTTTAATTATGTTTGCTCATTTTACATATCTTCTATTGAATTTATCAAATTTTTAACATTAAGGATGAATGATATGACAAAAAAATTACAAATTAAGAACATTTAATTGGAAATTTCACGAAAATTAGCTTTAATTAACATAAAAGTAATAGGCAATTTCTAATGAAATCCTAAATTGAGAACACTCAACTTAAAAAATCTAGAAAAAATCATAATGTCAAACTCGAATAACCAAAATAAGAGCATTTAAATTCAAAATTTTCCAGAACACTAAAATTTGATAATTAGAACATCAAATTCGAAAATTTTGATGAGAATACTAAATTGAGATAACTCAATTCGAAAATTATAACGAAAAACAAAATTAAGGGCATGATATTCGAAAATTACTTACCAAAATTATGTATAAGTGAACAAGAGGAGAGAGAAAGTATTGATCCTTGAAGCTTCAAGCCATTGATGTTCCACCTTCAAGAGAGAGAAATAAGCTGGGTAATTTTTTTTTGGAGAGAGAAAGAGGTTATGTGTGATATTCGGTTTGGGTGGGTTTTGTTATGTTGCAAATTTTATAGATATATAGATCATGTGAGATCCCAAACTGAATAATAGAAACTAGGAACTAATTTGAGCCCTTGATTCATTTGATCTAACGACTGAGATGCCCTCCGCATTTTTAACTTAATAATGGCATTTTGGTAAATTAGTATTATAGGAAATTAGTCTCTTCGAATGACTACCTTGAGCGCCAGACATATCCACCGTTTCTTTTTCGCTTTCTCTCTCTTCTTCATGCTTTCTTTCTCTTCCTTTGAATTCTTTGATGCAAATTTTTTCTTTGTTCTTCGCAAATCAAATTATCTTAATTTGTTCTTAGATCTTCGTCTTCTATTAAATCTGAAAAAGTAAGTTATTAATTTTTTCTATTTGATTTAATTAGTCGTTTGTTTTTAAATTTTGGTTATTATTTGAAGTTTGAAATTAGTGATTTTGCTATCTTTCTTTAATTAATTTGTGTTTTGCCTTTTTCATTTAGATTACAGATTTTTTTATTGTTGTGTTAGTAATTTTATGTTCGATTTTTTTTTTTTTTTTTTTTTTTTTTTTCTATTTATTTGAGTTTTTTCTCTTATTTGTTCGACTGAGGATTTCATTTAACTCTGGTTAAATTAGTGCTATGTTTTTATTTTGATTCATTTTTTATTCAAATTTGTGACTGTTATCGATTATAATGTGATGTTGTCGAATAATTTGTGGGAATTTTGATATATTATTATTGTCGTCTTATGGATCAGACCTAGGGTTAGCAATTGTTTAATGAGTTTTGTAGAATTAGGGGAATTGCATTTACTTTCCAATGTATGATAAGAAACAATTATTTAACAAAAAAGCTGGGTGTATTTTTCTATTAACTTGAATGACTGTAACAACTATCTTGGTGGTCATTCTTAAAATGAGGGTTTTCATAGTTATGTGGTTTTGATTAGAGACTAGAATAGTCACAATCTTTGTATAGTTTACAGACCGGAATAGGTTGTTGTTTGATTTCATCAAATTACTATATTACTAATGCTTGAGGACTTAAAGTAGCTTGGCTAATTGAGCAACTAAGAACGATAAAAAAAAAAAAAAAAACCCCATTTATTGTGTTCATAAACTTTATAGGTTATTTTATTTACTTTTGAGATTTTTGATATACTTTTGAGTAATTTTACCTTACTTTATATACACTATCTTACTAGCTTAATTCTTTATGGTGCCTTGTATTATGTGACTCATCTCTTTGTTAGCATTGGTAATTTGAAGCCCTTCTTTGTCATTTTGGTTGTATGCATTTGTAGTATCTGGTG